CAAATTTGCAACATGTCCATGGATTCATTAGGAAATTAATTGTGATGTTCATACCAGAATGGCAGGCCCAGTTTCAATTTTATTACATGCCTATCAAACTCTCCGAATAATATTGCACTAACTTTACACAACAAGTTTACAGGCTCACGTGTTTGCACAATGATTTTTTTTCCCATTAGTTACAAAGATATCTTTTAATAGGTCCTTGAATAAAAATGGTCATGCACCCTTCAACCCTCACGCTAGGTGAAAGAAGGCTCTAACCTTTCAGGTAAATTATTTCAATTTCTCCCCTGAATTTCTTAATAGTTTACACCCCTCTACATACAAAGAATTTAAGTTTTACCTCTAATAAGTCGTTGGGTCTCACTATGTAGCTGTTTAATGGCTTCTTTACTTAACCTTGCAGCTTTCCGCTCCTTAAGGAAAGAAAAGAAAGGCTTCTGAAGTCAGAAAACAAAATATGGGACTCTAGGTATACTTTCTAAATAGCTTATTTTTCCCTTTCAAACAGAAAGGGGTCAGAATAAAGCAGCCAGTTAAAAAAAGAAAAAAGATTAAAAATAGCAAATCAACAAAAACATTGCACAGTCTGCATACAGAAGACATCTGACTCACTACAACAAACAATGGAGAGCTTCAAAAAGAAGAATACTTCACCTTCCTTTTTGGTTCTTTTAATACAGGTTCCTCATTCTCATCATCAAATACATGTTTGTAGCCTTCACCCTCAGAAAACCATTCTTTGTTCTACAGTGCAGAAAGAGAGATTCATTTACGTGTCTAGATACACAGGCACTACCGAGGGCAAACAAGTAAAAAGTAAACAATAATTGTACAGAATCATCACTGGTCATCAAAACCAGCAAGTATTCTCATAAACCAACACAAATGCCGCATAATGCTTATGGTAGATTTCCAAAGCTTCTACTGTAGCATTATCCTTACAACTGTCCAGGACAACATCCCTCCGTCTTTAAGAACAAAAAGCAGAGGACTAGTCTCTCCTCTGTCATAGCAGTAGAAGCACACCATTCTCAAAAAGAGTTTCACACGTGCTCAGGTACAATACTTCCCACTAATAACCAATAATCTTGTATCGCTATCAAATGTTACCTTATATTTTTTTATTTTGTTTTTCACTGCTGCTCGTATTGATTCTATCGACTCTTCATCCTCTGGGAGGGAATCGTTTTCCTCTTCTAAGCCATTATCAAAAAGTTCTTTGTCATCAAGAAGACATCCACTGTCATTAAAAGGATACCTCGCACCACCATCTACCTGCTTGCCATAAGAATAAAGTGTTTGTGTAATTCATTTCAGGAAGTCCCCTTCAGTTCTTTGACATTAATTTAAGATTACTGTCAAAAGGTCTCGATGAAAGGAGTTAGAAAAAGTACATGCCACCTTTAATCTAGCATCTTTTGTGTCCTGTAAGCCAGTCATAGTCACTTTATAGCACTGCAAAGCTGGTAAGGTAATTCATGGAGCAGTGTTCCCTACGTCTATGATAAGTAGGGAAGTTCAATAATTACTGAAGACCAAAATAGATCAGAGAGAATAAATTAATACTTGAAATACGCATTTTATAAATAGCAACAATACGCAACCTCCCAAGCAGCCACTTATTTAGACCAGAATTCCAATCTGAAAGTAGCCCAAAGCTTCCTCCAGAAACTAGCACAGCAATGTAGAGAAAAGCTGAAATACCAATCAAAGCCGTCTGCGCACGTAACAAACCCCCAGCGAACCCACAGAACTCAAAGACTTTCTGCCTGGCTTAACACGCGCTGACGTTAAATCGTCAAGCGTTAGGGTTTGTACTTCCTTTGCAGATGAAACTGGTAGACTTATGCGGTGTTCCGTGGATCCCTGTGGATCCCACACCTGCAGTAGGAATGTGGACACTAGCAATGCTGAAGCACTGAAACATAACAACCAAATGCAGCAATACGTTTAACTTAGTTGAGAGGACATCTGAGATTTTCTGCCAAAATATATACCTCTGCTCTAGGCTTCTCTTCTTTTTTCAGCTGTTTAATGGACTCAATTCTTCTCTCCTTCTCCTTTCTTCTTCTTGATTTTCCTACAGCTTTTTTTGCCGTCTCTTCTTCAAAATCATGTTTCTGCTGTTTACGTTTTCTGTACTTTTTCCCAGATTTTAGGGGTCTCTCCTCTTCCAACTCATTCTCAGGCAAGCCAGACTTTCTGCTTGTTTCAAGATTTTCAATCTGCAATCGGTCATCAGTGTCGCTGTCATCGCTATCTCGCAGACCTTGGCGAATCCGACGAGATTTCTTGTTCCCCTGGGCAGTAATGTTCTCTTTTTCCTCTCCGTTTTCCTCGTCTCCACCCGGAGTATCGTGCTGCACAGAAAAGCCACCATCCTCTCCATCTTCACTCTCACTGTCCTGAAGCACCTTCTTGCTTTTTGCTTTTTTACGTACAAAAATCTCTTCCTCTGAATCTGACAAAATATATTAAAAGAAAAGAAATGATGCATGCTACGGAGAGGAAAATTCCACAAGTTAATTAACAAACGCTCAGTTAAACAAAGCTACATATCTGTTAAATTTCACAGATGTCAACATCTATAGCAAATCAGCTTCAACTCAAGTTTTCAAAATCCACTTCTCCCTGCAGTGCAGTATATAATTGACCCAAATTGCTGTTACAGGTTTTTAACCTTTAAAAAAAAGGCAAAGCTGAAAGTCTTTCACTGATAGATTAGTGACTTGCCTTGAAATGGTAATAAAACCCACGGTAAATAACTAAGTACATACATAGGTTACGCAAATCATAAAAAGACAGGAAATAAGCAATTAAGACACTCACATCCCATTTACTATTTCCCTTTCTGTACCTCAAAAAAAGCTTTTCAGAGATTTACAGATGTCCACCCAGATTCTGACCAACAAAAAAGGCAGTTTGGATTCATACAGGCCAAGCAATGCCAACCTCCTAAAAAGGTACTTATAAAACGAAAAACGCACTGTTGAAGGCAACAACCACCAGGCACAATTCATGGAAATATTACAGACCTCTGTCCTCAGGAGACGCTATCCCCTTGCTGAAGTGACCTGGAGAGGCTGTTTCACAGCTGCCCTGTCCGCTGTCAGAGTCACTATCAAGGGTTTTCTGCAAGTCTGAATTCAAATCTTCTAACGGCAACTACAAAGTAAAATAAAATTGCCTTACTATGATAAATTTTGTTTATGTGGCAATGACTCATGGTGTCTAACTTCACTCCAAAACCTTGGCTAACCCCTTACACACAATTATACATACAGTCGTTGTATTTTAAGAATTAATTGGTATTTATATGAAGGGAGATTACACCACATCAACTTTTATTAGTATTTAAATATGTTCCAGGTGAGTTTGCAGAAAAAAAAAAATCACCACAGCGGCAGATCCCCACTGATTACTATTCAAAGCCATTAGAACGAGAACTTTACTCTCCCACATCCGCATTTCACCTAAATTAACTGAACAGGGACCAGCCGCCGCCTGGGGGGACCCCAGAAAGGCTCCTCCGGGACAAGGTGCCCCAGCCTGGCGGGCAGGCACGCTGCGAGGGAAGGGCCGCCTCCCAGG